TTACTTTATTCCGGATCAATTCCAGTTATGCTGGCCTCTCGATGGAGAGCTCAGTGGACAGATATTCCACAATGCATGCCAGATAGATTTTTATAAATCTTTGAATCCACTTTAGGGCTCTAGGGTATTTGAAAACTTTGAACAACGCCTCGGAGAGGTTTGAAATATTGGAGATTTATTTCTTCAGTCTTTATCTCTCATCTATCTTTTCCATAACTTTCCCAAGTAATTTATATTTTACAAGGATCATTACATTCTTCTCTCTCTATTTTCTTTATAGTTTTAACAAATTCAAACTCTCTGTTGCCCCCTCTCAGTCGCTCAATAGACGAAACTGATCATCAAAAATGCGCAACGTCAAAAGCGTTTTGCAACTTGCCGCAAAAGCAAGAAACCAACACCATCTTGCAGTTGCATGCCCCGGCGTACACAGGAGGCATGCTATGCACTGCCCTGCCCCCTGTCCCCTGTCCCCTGTCCCCTCCCCAGCTGCACCATCTAGCCGCAGAGAAGGGGAAAAAACGTTTCTCAAGCTTGGGATTGGGTCTGGTTGGGATCGATCGTGCGTCATATGAATGTTTCGTTTAGTTGTGGCCAGGCCTGGGCTGGGCCCTCGTCCATCGTTGTCAAGAAACAAATTTGGTTGCTTCTCGTTCTCGTTCTCGTTTCTTTCATCGTTCGATCGTTCGATTGGGAGCGCACCAAAAGGGTCGTAAGGGTGGGCTGTGAGGCCGGGGAGGAGGCAGGGACACAACTGCTAACAACTGCATTCGAGTTGCAAGTTGAGAAGTTTTCAAGGCAGCAGCAGCACCGAAGCAGGAGAGGAGAAACAAAAACGACTTAAAAGCATTTTGCAGTCGAGCCGACTGCCGCAAGACTTCATCATCTTCGGCGGGTTGGAGGGCGGGAGCGAGAGGGAGAGCTGCCACATGCGGCAGAGGAGCAGGAATCAGTAGATCGTAGCAGAAGAGAGAGAGAGAGAGACAGAGTGAGAGAGGATGCCATTTAATTCTTAAGATCGGAGTGGAGTCTGCTTGGCCATTTGGCCATTTGCCGCCGCACGAGATAAGAAATTTCGCGATTCGCAGTTCTACAATTGGGAAAAACTAGAAAAGCAACAATTTGATTATCCCAGATGTGCGCTTCTACTGCTTCCCAGGAACCCCACACCCCAAACAGCGAACGGGGCAGCGGCGAATGCCTTATCAGTGCGGGTCCAGGGAGCTGCCGGCGGATCGTGTTCGATATCGAGTCTTAGAAATTTCGTCCTGTTTTGCCTGGTCCAAGAGATTGTCCATCGTGGGCTTTGTCTTTGTGCCGCCCCAACGGCCTGTAGTCTTGGGCCTTGGTTTTGGCCAGGGTCTGGATCGGGATCGGGTGCGGTTGTATGAACAGGTCCGACTCCAGGGTTCGGTGGGGCTGGGGTGCTGAGGGGAGGGGCGGCTGGAGGCTAGCAAAAACGCACCGAATATCAAAGTCAAAGCAGAGACTGCAAAACAGAAGCACGCACGGAATGTGAAAAGTTGGTTCCCATGACTCCATCTCCTTGGGACGAGCCGCTGTTCAAAGACACCGAAATTCGTCGTCGTCTTCGTTGTCTTCGTTGTCGTCGTTCGTGGGGTTTGCTTGTCTCTTCCGTCTGTGGCTCGTTTTGTATTGTACGAGTATTTGTTGTTCCAGCTACCGCTCCCTGCCCCATATGCCCCATGCCTCATGTCTCACCTGCCGCACACCGCACACCTCTTCGTCTGTTTATCAGCGATTTGAAGGCATTCAACATGCTGTTTCAACTTACATAAAAACATATTGAAACATTTGGCATTGCCGGAGATAAGGAGGCCTTTGGGTATACGGAACATACGGGCCGAGCGAAGGGTGCTTGGTGCTTGGTGCTTGGAGGGTGGTTGGGTGGGTGTGTCAGGAGAGTTGTTTGTAGCAATTTGATGGCACTTAAGCCACCGACGCCATTGTTCTGACAGACAATGCGTATTCGCTGGCATGCTGTTGTTCTAATTAAAATGTATCAAAATATACAATAAAAATGACACTGAAAAACCATCGGTGGAAAACGCTTCGTGTAGCTGCACGCTTGATGATGCTTTTTGTGGCAGGGGCAGGGGCAGGGGCAGGCCGTGCGCCTAGCATACTTCTGTGCGCATCCCGTTCATCCCGGGCACATCGCAAGAAGCCAACCATTCGCGATTACCTCAAAGTAAATACTTCGAAAACATTTTCATTACTCCAATTTGTCGTCGTCATCTTGGCTGCGTCGTGGGCGTCTGGTTCGTTGCCCGCCTGATTGTGCCTTCGCTATTCATAACTTCCACGTCCGGAGGTGGCACGCGGCGGTTGCCAAAGCATGGGGGGAGGCGGGGGAGGATGTGACCGGGTAATGCGCCAGGATAGAAATTACCAACGTTGCCATGGATTCGATGCCCTCCGGCAGTTCATCAAACCATTTGCCGGCCGTGTCTCCTTCAGCACCTTTCTCTCTATTTTTTCTTTCGTTCATACATTTCATTTGTGGGCCACGGAAAGTTCTGCCAGGCATTCGACGGTGCCTGGTATGTGACCTTCGGAAATATGTAGAAAACAATATTGAAGCGGGAGGAATGCCTCCAATGGGTTTATTGATGGAAAATGGATAAAGCCGTCACACATAAAAGGCCAGCGTAAAAAGAGTGAGTACGGACAGTGCACTGCTGAAGCTCCAGGAACGACCTGGAATGCAAACTCTATGGATGTGGTTCCGAGGTGTCTTTTCAGGTTACCTAACAACTCAAAAAGGAAACGACAGAAAGAAGCACATAAGCAAAATCCCCGTTTGCCCATAATCATTTACTTTTCCTTACTGCATTCTTATTGTACAAATCTCAATTCATTTTTTAATGGTGCGGCGACCTTAACAGATCCAGATGTACATCCATTTCGACCACAAATATAATAGGGTTTATTTACTCTTCGAGTACCGGGTAAAAATATAATCAAATTATAATAAAGTCTGGTGGAAACTCACCTTTAATTGTAGTTAACTTTGCTGATGCGATATTCTCTCTTTTTATTTTTTTTCTATTGCCCAAGTCAAAAATATACCTACACAAATGTCATATGGGCATACATATTTTCGATCTTTATAAGGTTCTTTTGGTAAATGTTATACATTTATTGTCCGCTCTTTATTAGGTTTGTCCGGTACATTTGGTTTTATTTTCCACTCTCGCACTTTCACTCGCTTTAAGTATAGCTCACTTTTGCTGAACCCGCCTGTCACCCCTTGCCAACATATTGACCATCCTTTACAAACGCTTGAACTTTACACAATTTTAAACAATTTTCCGACTCTTTGTGGTTTGTGAGTGTTTGTTGTTGTATTCTGTCAAAATTAATCTGAAATCTAAGAGGGCACTATTGCTGAGAGTGTTAAGAATCGCCTGTTTTTGTTCAATATGTATTTGTTTTTTGTGACGCTTTGATTCGTTGCTGCTGCCTCCTGTCTAAGCACTGTCTAAGTACAGCGGCGAAAAAAATAATAGCAGAACCAATTTTCAAATAGTTTCCCAACTCACATTTTTAACTTTAACGAAACTTTAAGCACATTTTTAGAAAGGGAAGACTCTTACAAATCTGAGAATAAGACAAAAATCGTACTTTTTTTTTTAGTTTTTTAAGTAATTTAAGAAAATTTAGTGCAAATTATAAAATTGGGCGAATTTAAAATTTAAAAATGAACTTAAAATTTAAAAAATTTGTAGTTAATCCTTTTGATCTATTAAAACTAAATCTATATTAATCATTCAAGATTTATTTCAGTGTCCTATTTCGGCAATAACAGATGCGCTGCCTCTTGGCTGGAATCCACTAAGTCCAGGCAAAGCTTTTGGAGAGCTCTGGACCAGGACCCTTAAATTTGTTCTCAAAGCAACTGCCTTCTGGACGTCGGACCACAGATTTTCAGTAGGTTTTATGTCAGGCGCCTGTGCAGGCCACTGTAACACGTTTAGTGTTGGCCCCGAACCATTCCTTTGCTTTCATGCTTGGGTTATTTACCTGTTGAAAGACCCATTCTAATGGCATTTCATATTCTGCAAACGGTAGCAGGCGTTTTTAATAATTTTATTGAAACTTCCTACCGATTGACCAAATTCTCTGTAAGTTTTTACGTCAAATATAAATTGTTTGCTAAGGTCGCTCTAATTTCCTTTTTAGAGCTTTCCACGTCTTATTGTATTGATTATTATTAGCTTTTATGATAGAAACAATGAAATATTAGTCAAAACTAATAAATACGTGGTTTATGCAAAGTCAATTCCCCGAAAATACGGAAATTCACTTAAATTTGTGTTAATGGTGCTAATATTTTGTTCGCCATATTTGTGGTATTTTTTCTTTAAGTTAAAAAAAATATATTAAGTCGGTAATTTGAAAAAAGGCAACACTTTTGTTGTTAATGGGGAATACTTAACTATATGAAAAAACGAAAAATTTTTAAAAATCGCAACAGTAATTGCTTTATTTTGGCCAAGAACAAAATGTGTTGTAGTGGTGCCATATTTTGGTTCGCAAATTTGTTTGTGAAAGGCTGATGAGCAGATGATGAGAATCGAAATGGTCTATTAATATGAAAAGTTCTTGTTTTTGATCCTCTCTTACCAACCAGTCAGCCCGTGACGAAAGTGAGGAGGCCAGTGATTGAACAAATAGCTCACCTTCGCGAACAGGATCTAAGAGATTCTTTGGTTTTGTTGTGCGGTAGATGTGGAGCACATACATAAGTACATATGTGTGTATTTATGTACATTTTTATGTTTTATGCATTAGAAGAAACACTTTCAGGGTTTGGCACAGACAATAGGCTTTCCCTTCTCTGCTGCGGCGTAGCACAATAATATCTATCAATCTTAATATCCTCTGAATTCTTAATTTCTCTTATTTTAAAGTAAAAGGTATCTGTAGTGCTGTGTATTTAATTTTTGTTCTTCTAATTATCCAATCGTAGACATAGTTTGTTCGAATTCGGAACCTCCGTGAGTTTGATTTAGCTAGAGTATCCCAGATTCGGCCGCTGTCCCGCTATGGCGTTCATTATCTTGGTTCATGCCCAGGACGACTCGTGTATCCGCATCCCATTCCCCATCCGTGCTGCATATTCGACACAAGTGCCGAACGCCAGGCGGCCAGGCATCAATTTCAACAGCTGCCCCAGGGCGGACAGTCGTGTTCGCGTCCGTCCTCTGCCCCTGCGCTGGTTGGGTGCAAACGAGGCGAGTGCTGAAAAATGCAAATCAAGTTTCAAATATTTGAGCAATAATATTTGTGGAATGCCACCGAAATTACTCACGCAGTCCGAGAACCCCAAAACAGGAGCAGAGCCCAGCGCGATGGATGGAGGGCACATCATACATATTTAAAATGTCGCGTGCCGTTAACTCTGAAATGCCAAAAATGAACGGTAACGGAGAAGTGGCATGGGCAGAGGGCAGGGGCACATAAGCAGCGACCATACATTCTAATTAATAGCGAAGTGGCAGGAGAAGAGTGGTGCGGTGCCAAGTAGATCCCGTAGGAAGTGCGGCACATTTGAAAGAGGCATTAGAAGCCGTCCAACCAGATGCTGATCCAGCCATCCCGATCGGTGGTCGCGTCGCTTCGCACCGGTCAGAGCTGTCAAATGAATGCATTATGCACATGGAATGAGGAGGATACATGGCGATACCCCACCCATACCCCTCGGAGTACAGTGTTCCATTTAGACAGAGACGCACCCAGAGCCAGTCCAGTCCAGTCCATGTCTCAGTCATCCATCCATCGTTATCAGGGGCCGAAACGGCTACTGCTGTCCGTCGCTTGAGTGCGCCATCCTCCATGGCTCCAACTGCGACGCGGCTCCTTCTGCAACTGTTGCTGTTGTGGTTTGCTGTTGCTGGGGATGCTGATTTAGCAGGCCACCGGGGCGCCGCACGACTTATCGATGACACATTGACAGGACATTATCGGCACACTTGTAAACGGCTTATCTTAATTGCTACTGACCTGCGCAACATACGGATACGAGTATCCATGCCCGTCGACCATCAGAGACTTGGGCTCTTGGTCTTGGAGTCAGGTTCTTAGGTATTTTAAATGCGTTTTCTGGTGTGCCCTGCCAAGAAGCTTCCCTCTCTGCCGTGTGTGTCATAATATTTTGCATATTTGCTCGGATTCGAATTCGACTTCGACTTTGGCTTCGGCTCCGGAGCGTTTTCCGTGTTCCCTTGTCTTTTCTGGTTTCTGTTCCGTGGTCATTGCTAATTAAAGATTATTCGCTGCGCGTGTCCCCAATGCATTCCCCGGATGGCTAACCAGTTGGGTGGGATTGTGATCAGGTTAGGTTAGGATATTGGCAGTGCTGTAAATGGCCATACCATATCGTTGAGTTGAGTTGAGGTGGATTGCCTGCCAGTTGCCATTTCCTCTGCCTCTGCCTCTGCGCTGGTCTCAGTTCAGTATTGGTTTGCTTTTGTTTTATTCCGCAGAAGTGTAAATTGCGGCTCAATGTGCGAAATTATCATTACCATATCGGGTTGTCAAGAATTTTAACGGCCATTTGTGTGAGTGTAAGCCGGAGCAAAGTCATGTAAGTGCTTCTCTTCAGGATTTACGCGGAATTGCATGGCAGCAGCAGCAGCTACTGGGCACTAGCTCTGAGTCTGACTCGGACTCGGACTCTGGCTCTATCTCTGGCTCTTCCTGATAGATGGAGTTGCCACAGCAGTACACACACACACACACTCGCGGTGGGTTACCCTCTAACTGACACACACAGGTGGACACCCAATATGGCTATTGAGTTATTCACTTTGACATGCCGGCAGCGACAGTGGCATTCCATTCCATTGTGAGTGGAGTGAAGTGGAGAGTGGATGATGGAGCCGAGCCGAGAGCCCTGACTGAATTCGCTCCTGTGGATCGAGCGGGCCGAATCACGCGGGGGTACTGGTGGACTACGATGGGAGCCAGTGGCTAAAACTGCAGCTGGAATGCGTATTAGCAATAACAGTGCGCATATTTCATACACGTACACTCCCCCCACCAGCCGCACGTGTGTGTGTTTGTCACTTTTTGTCATTTTTTGGGTGCGTGGTAGATGGAAGAATTATGACAGCATTGCATAGTTGGGGAAAGTATTTTGTATGCGGCAATTAAGAGAAAGAGAGAGAAAAAGAGCAGAGTGTACGCTGCCTATGCCTCCCACCTGGCGGTTGCATGCTAAGCCACCATTACCGCCCACCCACGACAGTCAGCCCTCCCATCCAGCCTACCCAAAATTTAATTACGCCCCTTTCACAAGAGTAAACTCCACAGAGAACGGGCTGGGCTGTTCACGCACATTTTTGGCCAATTTTGTTCGTGTTAAGGTCAGGCGCTGGCGCTCTCCTCCTGCAGCATTCGGAGTCGAGTCCTTTCGGCCGGGTCCAACCCTTGGAAAGATGTCTGCCACTGCCGCCACAGCACACAGCCACTGCTCACACACAAACGCACACACACAGCAACACATTCGGTGTACGATGTACGCACACAGCGGCATCAAACCGGTTTCAGACACAGACACACAACGGGGTTCAACCTCTTTGCCTTTTGGGGCGGAGACTTGAGCGAGGCACTGTGTTGTTGCTTTTTACTTGCTCTTATCTGATGGCAATAAGGCTCTGCGCCTCTCTTTCGCTCTGTCCTGTACACCCCCCTCCCCTCTCACCCAGCCAATATGCTGCATGAAATGAATTGTGTTTGCGATGCGAATATACATATATATCACGCCAGCAGTTTGAAGTACACTACAGTCGTCTCGCTCCAACGCAGGCCCACGGCAAGGCTGTGGATGGTTGGTTGTGTGGACAGCGGATGCTAGTGGGAGTAGGAGGGATGGACAACCGTAAAGTTTGCTTCTTTCGCAGCAAAAGTTTTGCCAAAATGTTGCAATTGTGTGTTCGAGGTGGTATGATTCAGGGGGTACGGTACAAGGAGTGGGGTGGACCGAGTTGAGTTTTTGTGTGGGGGGGATTGGCGGCCATTACCGTCACTCTCTCCCACTCACCCGCTGCGTAGCACGGCATTGAAATCGATTCAACGAAGTGCACTGCATTTGCGGCACTTGCACTTGGATGCATTTTAAAGCCCCAACAGCCGTAGAGCCATATCAAACATACCATACATACGGACACACATATCCTCGTACAATATTGTATTTTTGCAGCAACTTTCAACAATTTCAACAATTTGTATACGCCTTTGCCCTGCATTGCATCCAGCATTTGCCGTTATGAACTGCATATGTATGTATGTATGTACATACATATGTACGAATGTATGTTTGTGTGTGCGTGCATTTTTGTGCATGCAGAATCATGTCTGTGCGTGTTTCATTATTAACCAAATATTTTATATCCATCTGTCTGTTGTGTCTGTCTCTGTGTATTCTCTCTCTGTCTGTGCTTTTTTATTCATTTTTTTGCACCGCAATTCCGTGTGGGCGGTGCACTGAGGGAATCCCTTTTAATTAACTCAATTTCGTGGCATTTTCTCCTCTCTGCTTCTTCTTTTTTAACACATATTTCATATCCTTTTTACCCCCTGAAAACACCGCTCATCGGCTCGGATCCGGCAATAAGTTGCATTCTTTCGGTACATTTGTAATAATTTCACACAATATGATAATGAAAGAATGCCAAGAGAGAGAGAGACAGAAAGACAGACAGAGAGAGTGAGAGTCAATACACAATTCATTTATCAATGAAAAATCTGGCAATGCATTGTGCCTGCAACTGTGCAGGTTTTGGAGTATAATTAAATCAAGTATTATTAAATATTCGCACAAAACTCTTCCAAAATCCGAGTATATTTATTTATATTTTAATATTATCTACTACATATTGGAAAACATTCAGAAACGAATGTACATTTGCCCAAGAAATGCCCATGACATCTTTGTTTCCTATCATTACTTACGGATACATCTTTGATGGACATCAAAAACTCTTTTAAAAAAATTAAAAAATTAGTTGTACAATCCCTACTTTTAACTATGTATATAGTACATACGTACATGTCCTACGTAAATCATATTCTTATAACTCTCATGAAAATAATATCCCATGAACGGTTGACAGAATTTTGCGTACAAAAGGCAATCCCACATAAAGAAACCGTGTTACTAATCAAATGTACATATTTTACAGAACTTTATAACCCTGTCCCACTAACTAATTGAATTTTTCAACGCTCTTAACCAAGTTCTCGGCTCATTTACTAACCCAAAACTTAAGCAACTCCCCAACAGAAGTTGCCCTGCGCAAATTAGATCTGATTGCGCGGCATATTCCTAATACAGTTTATTCTCGGTTATACCCCTGCCCGCCTTAAGGGTCCCCCTTCTGGGAGGCTGGGAACCAATGGAGTAGACAGGCCTAACCCGGACCCAGCATCCAGCATTCAGCATCCAGTCTCCAACATCCTTTGCCAGGTCAAACTAATAAACTTTCCTGGTGCTTTTTTCCTGGTCTCTCCTTTATTCCGCAGAAACCTCATCCAGGGTCGGCTTTGTCTTCGTCTTGCGTCCCATCTAATTGCTGTTTAAAGGCCGGAACCGGAGCCAGAGGCAGTGGCAGACTCCCGTAGGCAGAGTCTTGGCTGCCGCAGGGGAGCCGGGAGGAGAAGCAAGTGCAATGCAGCTACAAACTTGAAGCTGAACATTTTTGTGAATTATTTTCCCATTATGAGCAGATTAAGTTTATTGTGCGGCCATTGGGAGTGGCGTAACGGGAGAATCTTGGCAACTCAGAGCCCTGGCACTGCCACTGTCAGTGGGGGGCTGATAAAATCAACCCGACATCTTGGCTTTGGCACTGGAAAATGTACTCCCACAGGCACACGCACACACACACATAGAAAGAGAGAGAGAGACAGGCAGACAGACAGACAGACTGACAGCAGGGGCCTTTGAAAAGGAATCATGGAAAAAGTCTGTTCCGTGGTCCTTGGCGCTGGCGCCATTGTTGAAGGGAAAGCAAAAATGAAAAGCACACAAAGGGGGAAAGGAACCGTAAGCGAGGAAAAGTATTTTAACGCGGTCTGAATTTCAAAAGTTTGCCAAGGTATAGCTCTGCTCCTGGATCTTGAGTATGGAATGGGGACTGGAGCTGGAGCTGTAGCTGGATCTCAGAAAATGACTGAGAAATTCTCGCTTTGAGTCGCTTTCTTTGTATGCAAAATGTTGTTTCATAATTTTCCATTTTATTACGTTTAACGTGTAAATTAGAAAATGCTTCAGAGAGAGGTGTATGGGAAAGCAGTGTGGGAGCGAGGTGGGGAGGGGTAACCAGATATTTTACACACATTAATTAGAATATCAATGAAGCATTTGGCGTTGCCTTTGTCACCGATACAGGAAATGTCACCTTGCCACACAACTGGCAGCCAGGAGTCAGGCTCCAGGACAGATACGCAGACGCAGATGATGATGATGATGAGGCTGCCAGCCACAGACAAATAAATCACACATAAACGCCACTCGAAATGTGGCCCCGGCATGACCGGACCAACCTACCAGCAGAGCAGCACCCGAACAGCAGCAACTCACATCCCGATCCAAACCAAAAACAAACCGGAGAGGAAAGTGGAGAGAAAGGAAACCGACCAGATGCACATGCAACCGCAGGCAGCACAAAATGAACCCAAAATGAAGGCAGGGGATTGGGATTGGGGATTCAGATTGCGATTGCGGTGCAGGAAAATGATGTATGGATTTTTTAACGCTGCTGATTGTCTGCGCAATCGCAGGAGCCACCAAACCACATGGAGCCATCGAACGAACAGAGAACTGCCGTAATCAAAGCCGCATGTGGGGATAAATGGACGGATGGACGAATGGCGGGATGGAGGAAGACCACAGCGCATCCAACATATGCTTGAAATGTGTTAATTCAACGTTAATTATAAAAATTGATTTCTGCTACTCGTATCTGTAGTGTTTTGCTCCCATGCGGACTAACCAGCAGCGATCCCCAACCATCCTCCATTCAGCGCATTCAATTAACAGCCAATAGAGTTTGATCAAATTTACGAGATGCATTCGAGTTTCAAGCGTACGTGACGCAACGGCCTCTTCTATCCATCCATCCATCCATCCATCCATCCATCCATCGATTCATTCTCCGTCGTAGGTGCCGTCGCCGTTCCCCAAAGACTATGGGAAAATGTATTTATTTATATTTTGCGGCCAGGCCAATGGCACGAACATTCGATGGCCATAAAGTGTCGTCGAAGTCAAGTCAAAGTTCCCGTTCCCCAAGCAGAATCCACACAAGAGTCTCACCCCGGCCACTCCGGCTAATGCTCCAAAAATATCCACGTGCCACACTTCGTCTTGCGTTCGTCTTTTATTATTGTTTTTCCATCTTATTTATTATCCAACTTCGGTTCTTCGCGCTTTGTTAACATAATTTAACCGAATACCAAATTGGAAAATCTGTTTTCCCCGCATTCTTGTTTATCTGGGGTAAAATTAATTTCCATTTAATGTGGCAAGCAGTTTCGTTGACACTCGCTCGAAATGGCCAGTGGGAGCTGAAGGGAACTTGAGGTGGCACATCCATATATTAGTGGGACAACTGCTAAGGTCAGGCCATAGATGGGTCATAGAGGAGTCATCCAATTAGACGCTGATAAATTCAGTTTCTAATCGATATATCTGTTGTTTCTTCATAGAAGGTACAGTTTGGGTAGCTTTTTTTTCTTCGAATAAATAGCATCCCAAATTAGAATTTCCCCTTATTAAACCATAAAAAACAACAGATAAATCAAATGAAATATATTTAAAGAGTAATTTAATAAATTATAATTTTTGGAATATCAGAAAAGACAAATGTAGTTGGAGCTTGTAAGAGCTTCACTTGACAGACTCTATGTGTAGACAAACTCTTCCTATAGAGAACTCCCCTCTAGCCCCTCCACTCACCATTCCAACTCCACTGAACCGTGCATCAGAAATACGAACCCGAATACAACTCATTAGCACACAATGCCACAATAAACAGCCACAAATGCAACCGTTTGAGATGGCTTTCGGCCACTGTCCACTCGTGCACCAATGTGTGGAAGGCAGGAAGGAAGTAGAGCCGCCAAAAACGGAACCATCTGTCCCAAAATGAAACTTGAGTGACAACAAAAAGGCACATAAAAAGGGTAAATAAAGCGAGCGAGAGACTGATAGAGGTAGAGGTAGAGGTAGAGCGAAAAAACGTGAATTGAAAAACTCAGAGGGAAGTTATTAAAAAGCGATAAACCCAGAGCAAAACGCATTTGGCGAATTGTTGAACACCTTGAGGAGAGGTTCACTCCGTCGACCTGTACTCCTCTGGCCATGTCTCGGAATTATGGAATTCTTATGCTAAAATAATGGACCCGCAACCGGCTTCTGTTCCCGTTCTGCGATCTGCCAATGCATCCACTGGTGGTTCATCGATCAGTAATAAATTTGTTGCGTACACAGAGCAGAGCCACAGCCACGGAGGAGGGAGCGGACTGTGGGTAAAAAATAAAAAGAGTATGGAGCGGGAGCATGTCGCGCGTTCGTTTTATTTCTTTAATTCATGAGCAGGATCGAGGGATCCGTTTGCTTGTGACTGAACCAACTGTTCATGGTGCATCGAGTGAGTGAATGAGTTAGGTGCCGGGCGGTGCGGCAGCGTTGGCCAACTGTGCGATAAGTCATTGAAAGTCAATAATATGTCGTCTCCCCTCTGTCTCTTGATTAACTTTCATTGTGTACATCTACTGGTAATAGCGAAAAAACAAATGAAAGAGGACAACCCACAATCCTGTCCATCCGGTTGGGGCGAGAGTAGCAGTCACCGTTCCCAGTCACGGTTGCAGTTGCTGCCGGAGTTGCCGCTTATTTATGACTTGTGCCACCACTTGGCCACTATCTCAGATTTGTGCTTTCATTAATTATGCAAAGATTCCCTTTGGGATGTTCGTTGTTTCGACTTTTGGTTTGGGTTAGGCCTGGGGCGGAGAGCCTTTCCTCTCCTTCTGTTCGGATGATAAATAGCCCAAGATTAATAAGGCGCCTGGCTAAATGGCGTGGAAAGCATTCACATTCGACGATTATGAAAATTAGTGTCTTCCCTTTATGATTCTTATCTGATTTGAATTCGTGGCTTAATCCGAATGAAATCATTAGCCAACAGATGTGAGCTTAGTTGCTTCGGTGCAATGGCAGTGGTGTCTTGACTCTCGACTGAAAGAAATCCATGAAATTCTTCTTATATGGATACTTACCACCCAGCACAGTCCCCAATTAAATAAATAACCATGGGGCAGATTCAACAATTGAAACAAACTTTATTCTATGATTGTATTCAAATTTAGTTTTGATTTCTTTTATTTTATTATCTTTTTTTATTGCATTTTTTTCTTGATTTGTTTTTGTTTTTTTTTTTGCTCTTTTTCCAGTTTTGAATTTTGTTAACCTAATTTGTTTGAAATTGCAAAAATTGAATTGTTTTTAAACAAAATAAACTCTTAACTCTTTGTGGTTTTGTGTGGCTTTAAGTGTATTTTTCAAGTTCGCGTTAACTATACAAGAAATGTCGATTATTAAATGTTATCAACGCAGGCTCAACGAGTGCCAATGCACACCCGTATGTATATATATATATTGATTTATATGTATAAGTATTTGTATATTTATTTTATTTATGTTTAGAGTGTATATGCATTATATTTATGTATATGTATGCTCTAACTTGCTGATATGGGATGCTAAACTTACAAAATCAAAAATTACTCTGAAAAATCCTAGTGCTTAATGCGCGAAAAATTGTTTACAATTTGTGTGTGTGTGTGTGTGTACGAAGTATAGTTTAACGTTAATCATTACGGGTAAAATTAAAATTAAATTTCGTTATTCTGTTGTATTGTTTTGCTCACACAGAAACACAGACTGCAGGCTGCTTAAGAAGCGATTCCAGTAACCGACTGAGGCTCTTCCCCCAATCCTTAATATCTTGAGAGTTTGATTTTCCCTCCATCGGAGTTTATACATTTTTATGGTCGTTGATTCTTCGCTTCTACCTAGAACCAGTACAGATCCTTTGACGTTTCCTGCACTTGTGCCTCCAGACCTGCAGAGAGTGAAGGGGAATTACCCCACTGGGTCGAGGAGCTTCCTCTTTCGATCCACTCACCTGCCATTGTGGGATAGCTCGAGTACTCCAGGGCATGGGCCGTCGGCTGGTCGTGGTGAAGTCTGCAAAGAGTTGTGGGAAAAAGATCAAGGCAGAGAGTTAGGCACCGATGAGTGGATGAGGGGAATGGTGGGTGGGTGTGTGTCGCACCTTGAACCGTGGCTCGCGTACTGCTGTGGCAGCCTGAGCAGGCTACCGTATTGGGCCATGTTGTGGTGGTAGGCGTGTGCGTGGGCTGCGTGCGCATGCGCTGCATGTGCATAGGAACCGTAGTGGGCTGCCGCTGCATGAGGCACCCATGGATCTGTGGCATAGCCAGTGTCCGTCGCCGTGCCATACAAGTCGACCTATGGCAGGGAAATAAGGATAGCGGAGATGGTAAATGGAGATCGAATTACAACTTATTTAGAGACAATGCAGCACAGAGGAGCTTCGGAGCGCCCTTGAAGCTGTAATTGCATCACGTATTGCAGTTAATCGGTTTCGGTTTCGGCTTGAGCTTCGGCTCGGACCTAGACCTGAAGCTGGACCCAGCATTGCTCGGGTGGCTTACCTGAGGATGTGTGGGCGCGGGTATAGGGTGCACGTAATTGCTGTTCCAGAACGATGGTGGGAAGTTGCGCGTCGACATGGGACTCTGGCTCTCTGTGAGACATGAAACGAGGGACAAATATGTTGGAATATGTTATAAGCTTGAGGCTGATTAAAATAGAATTAGTAGAAGAGTTCTTTGTGTTTACAATTCATCAAAAGAGATAATAATAACACCTCTTTCTAGTCCTTAATTCCTCATTTATTTCTCTGGATCAAAAAGAATTCTAAATCTGAAACCCGTTTTACACTGGTGTCCTCATCGTGCAATTTCCATTCACTTGCCGGAATGATTAACTGGCAAAGTGCGACAAAAGAAGTGGCAGCAGCAGCAGCAGCCCAGGCCCAAGGCAATTCTTGAGGGGATTCCGGGATTGGTTGCCAGCTTCCTCGCCTCGATGACGGCGCCACGGCTTGTTGCAAATAACTGAGCGGAATGTTTTCGGTTGTCGTTCATTGTCGTTGTCGCGTTGTTGTTCAGGATCATCACTTGTATTAAATGGTTGTAAATCTACGCGTTTATGAAATCGCACGACGCCAGCAGCCGCAACAGCAACAGCAACAGCAGCGGCAACAGCAGCGGCAGCCAGCGACAGCCAGGCAGAAGAAAGACATCTCCATTATGTGTAATGGAGCTCCCTCTGGGTCCCCAGGCCACAGGCCCAAAATAGCAGCCGAGGAGGGTAGCAAGGGAGCAGCAGGCAAGGACTGCAATTGAGGGAGCCTGATACCAAAAACTTGCATAGGCGCATTTGCGTTGACAACATTCCAAACTCAATTCGAGAGAAAAATATACAACAACTGGAGGAGTGGAGTGGAGTGGAGTGGAGAGGAGTCTGGGCTGTGCGGCAGTGAGGATTGTGTTGGCTGCACTGAAGGATGTGGATGTGTAATGTTTGTGCATCGATGCCGTCGCGAGTCGACAACTCTGGCCGGCACGTCTGTGAGTGTGCCATGCATGCTGATGATGCGGCTCGATGCCGCGTGCCTCCGAGCCTCCTGCTCCATGCCATGCCACCGATTTGATAGCGACTCCCTTGCCAGAAGTCGTCATCAGGCCTCACAAACGCTGTTGCCATTCACTCACTCGCTCAGCTGAAACCAAGGAATTCCCATTAATGTGCAAACAAGCAAACTGCTAAAGATATTTCAGCTATATATGCCTCTGGCTCTGCCTCTGGCACAGTCTTTGTCTCAGAGTCTTAGCATCTCAGACCACAGTTTTGGTGAATCTTTCACTTTCATCTCCAAAAGCGAAAGCCGCAGCTTGGCTGCCTTGCTGACTCTTTCACCTTTCACCTTTATCCTAATGAAGTCACCAGCAGCGACATGGCCAGCAAATTTATGGCCCGATAAGGTTCGATCGCCAACGATGAACAGACAGAGATGGCCACAGAGTTGAAAGGAGAGCAAAATATTGTCCTAGAAGACAGCCAAAGCGAAATAGCTATGTGACCCTAGCACGGTCTTTGGGTCTCTGTTTCTGTATCGGTTTTCGTATCTGTATCTGCATTTGTATGTTCTGTTTCTGTTCTGTTTTTGCGGCTGCTTCTGGGTCTTTTTCTGGTTGTGGTTCTCCTGCTGCAGCGGGTGCCAAGGAATTTTAAATCGAATTCTTGAGGCATCTAATTAAATACTCCTCGTAGCACACAGCACAAGAGACCAGCCCCGAAAGGGAGCAGATGAATCGAGTATATTTTGAAGAGCGATACGCGAAACGAAAACCCAAACCAGAAAGAGAGAGGGAAGCAGAGAAAAGTGCAAGCGTGCCACTCAGTCTCACTATCTCTTCTCATCTGTGGCTCTGCCTTTGTCTCTTTCGCCCGTACGTGTGGTGTGCCGGCCGTGTGGCAGTGGCAGGGTGTGTGCGGAGAGCAGTTAATTGAAATGCATTTTAAAATCGTAATGAGGAATCTATGCGGCATTCGGCATTGCCACCGCCAGACAAACCGCAGCACCAACAGCAGCACCAGCACCAGCAGCAGCAGCAACATCGACCGCATCGCATTCCGGCGACATTTCATAGCACATTCCAACCAGATACATAGTACATATACACACACATGCATACATATCTGTAAACTTATATATATATATACACATATATACAGCGAGCAGCAGCAGCACATTTCGATCAACAACAAAAAATCTATATAAATGCTGAATAGTTTCAAAAGTACAAATGCAAATGGCCAGCGGTGTGTGCTTGTGTGTGTGTGAGTGTGTGTGTGAGTGTGTGTGTGTGTGTGCCCAAATAGACAAATGACCAAAATGAACTTTAAATACCATTAAGCAGCCGCGACTCGACATAAAACGTCTAAACGCGACAGAAATGAAAACAAAAGCAAATCTGAAATCAGAGTAAAAAGTAAACATTGTTTATATGTATATTGTTGCAAGTATATTTAACAACTTGAATTTTATTTAAGGGACCATCTATAAACGGCAATGTGTGCCACTGAGCACAATGCACACAATGGGCGTGCAAATGCCAAGAGCAGGGGTAGAAATGCGGTAAGAAGTTACGAATCATCCTGCATCGATTAACGGTATCGATTGTAGCTAATTCTGCAGCGGAACTCTTTATCGATTAGACAAAAGATGGTCGACTAATGGCAGAAATTATTTCTCAATTAATGCAAATAAAAGTTCACGGAGCAATATTTACGTTTGAGAGATTCCAACCTTACATCTAAAAATACATACTATCGATCCTTAATAAGCAAAAAAAAATAAGCTAAACACAACCTTTAAGCTATTAAAGGTTTCAATGCCTTTAATTTTGTGTTTACATGTGTTTATATATGTACATATGCATATGTAAATATATTATCTACCGATCTGCCTAATTTCACAGCAATGCAAAATATGTCCCAAACTCACGAAAATTATTAGCCATGTGGTTTTTGTTGCTATGTTTTGGCAGCCATAATTGCTCATGAGATTTAAATACAAATGTTTTATTTCAACATTTAATAGCCAAAATCATGCCCTTCTTAGATCACCCATTAACAGCCAAAAACCCACAAGAAATTGTCCAATTATCGCAAAGCGAGCGGTAATTGAATGAATCAAAGTGAAAGTCGTAGAGGCGGTGGTGCGGTGGGGCTGGAATGGCAGCCACAGAAAGTCAATAAAATCCTAGGTTTAAGAGCAATTGGCGGTGGGCGAAGGAATACAACGCAAACTGTTCGTATTTGGGGGGATAGAGAAACGGTGAGGAGATGGAGAAAAACTGTTAAGTGGATGGAACACGTACAGCACATTAGCATAGATACTGCCGACACCTGCTCGGCATTCAAATGCGAAGATAATTGATTGATTGAGCAATGGAAATATATTAGCACGGAAGATACATAGATACGACAATGCGAGCACTACGAGTTCCAAAAGGAAGATAATAATACGGCGAGCTTCGCTTTGCAACTGACATCTGCCTCAAGGAAATTGCAAAGAAATTAAAAACAAGCCGACAAGCAAAACAGGAGACACATGTATGGATGTATCCACATGTAGGTACACATGTACGTGTAGCATACACATACATATGTATGCATCGTATTTTTAAGATAGACGGACAGGCAAAACAGACAGGCATGAACAAACGAAACGTTTATCTTCATTAAAGGAGGTAATTAATTTTGAAATCGAAAGAACAAGCGAGTGGCAAGTGGCAACTTGATTTATATGTTTTGTTGTGCGCCTGTTTCGGTTGCCTCCCTCTGCGTCGCAATCACATTCACAGACATCCATCCCGAGGAGGAGACAGGGCACAACGACGACTCTGTGCGAGTGAGTGGATTTTTAAAGTGATTCGATTTTGTTTTGCTTTTATCCCCGAGTATGCATATGCCAGCATAAATTCAAATATTTAAAATAGTTTTCGCAGGAAAAAGATGGATGGAAATGGGAAGACCGTATAAGTTTTTAATAAAATTCTACACAACAATTCACTCATTCAACCGAACAACGCAAATCCCTCAGGCGTGCTGTGGAATGCATCGGTAAAAGGCCACCTGACCTCACCAAGCTCGCCTGAGCATCAATCAAAATGTGTTATACCCGTAGGCCGTTCAACAGTAGCAAACTTTTCGCATTAGCAATTAAGTTTGAGTGCAAATTACACAGTGGTTTAGATTAAAGAGAGCACAACTGTTGCCCAGCACATTTCTTACATTCAATACAAATATTTAATTGTGGTAGTTTAAAATTTTTGGCATCCCATTAAGTTTGTGTTCTACTAGTACGTATCATATTCATTTTATTGTGAGAGTAGCCGCAACTCGATATCATTTACTTTCCACATCTCCATCTCTCTCTCTCTCTTGAATTTTGCTACTCCAGTAGTGAAATTACTGTGAAAACGCATGTTGATGCTCTTGAGTGCAAAGCTCAATGAAGAGAGAGCAGTAAATCCACTCCATCACAGCTGCATAACACATTTCTGAATTTCTAATTTTCTCACTCTGTTTGCGCTGTCCTCGAGAGTAATTGAATATTTGTGAATTTGTGTGGTTGATGTTGAGAGCAGAGCGCAGCTAGTTGACATTAGCGAGAGAGCACTTGTGTGGGCTGATTAAAATCTCTCGCCTCTCTTTTTTTGCCCTACCTCCCACATTCCAGTGGCATAATTTGCACGTCGTAAATTTCCCGCGAACATTTTAATAACTTAGCTGGACTTTTTCTCCATTTTTGCTGCTGCGGCTGCTGTGTTTTTCACCTAATTATACACGACTGCCGCCATTGGGGGAGCAAAGTGAGGCACTGCCGCCACTCACATACGGCAAATCGGGGCAAACACGCAAACTGACAGCCGAGACAAGTACATGACACGAGCGGCTCTTTTGATCAGAGCTACTGGGCTCCCCACTGAGGGAGCGCCGGAGCTGGAGTTGGGTGGTGAGATTTGGGAGTTGGGAGAGTTCGAATAGACGGATGCTTCGTGCTCCTACCTTTAGTGTCCTTGTTGTTGTAGTTGAGGGCGCGGGAGAAATGCTCATCGACCACGCTGGCCGTGTCGCCCGAGTAGTTGGTGAATACAACGCAGGTGGCCGACAGATACTGAGCTTGCCCCTGGCTATTGCCGCCGACCGGCTGTGGGGCATCCAGGGTCGGCAGTTCCTTGGGTATGGCGCCCGTGGCCGTCCCGCCCGCTGACGATGCACCCACTGGCGCCCCGCCGCCGCCGCCATGCAGCGCTAGGCTGTGCGCGTGCACGTGGCGCGGTGAATCCGGGCCGGAGGAGCAGGATGATTCGTTGTGATGCTGGTGCTGTTGAGAGCCCACCAAACGTGCTGAAAATCGAAATTGGAGAAATATTTCACAATCATTGCGGATAATGGATAATGAGGGTGAGGGGTGCGGGATTATTAAATATGATATCATTTATTGAATGTTAACTGGTTTGGAATGTGAGTGCCCGACCGACCGCAATTCAAAGAATTTGTAAATTAATTAGCTGAGAGTGTACACTGGCATCCACTTTTGCTCACTCTCTCTCTCTCTCTCTCTCTCACTCTCTATGAATGAATGACGATGACAAAATAAAAGGCCATATAGCCATCTAGTTAACGGCATTAAGGGATCGATTTTAAGCTTGGAATTTTCTGGATTCGGTTGTGGTAAAGCAACAACAGAAAGTAAATTAGTTGTATAAAATATTTTGAGGCAGAAACTAAACTGTTGATTACTTAAAGCTGAATTGTATACAAAATTTCAGGCAGTTACTATGCAAGAGAGAGAGAGAGAGAGAGAGAGAGAGATTAGCCAGAGCTTTTGAAAGCTTACACTGTACATTGGTTCTACTCATTATTATTCTTTTATTTCCGCCTCTAATTGCATTTTGTTGTCTGAATCACTGAATCGATCATCCACTAAAAGGGTTTTCCCGAGCTTACTCACCTTCAGCTTCGCTGCGTGGCACGTTGAGATCCTCTTCTTTGGTTTGATGCGTATGCGTATGCGGGTGCGGGTGTGAGTGCGGATGTGAGTGGGTGTGCGTCTGTGTCTGCGGGTGCGAATGTGGATGCGAATGCGTATGCGTGTGCGTCCGACTGTGCAGCGAGTGTCCAGCGGCTCCACTCAGACCCGGACTCATGCCAAGTCCGACGCTGCCAACACTACTACTCCCGGGCACGTTGCTACCCAGCAATCCACCGCCAGAGCCACCGACTCCAACGCCCAGTTGCAGCCCGGAGGTGCCCGCCTGATTCGCTGCCACGGCAACTGCCGCTGCTGCACTATTGTGCGCCGCGGCTGCCACCGCCGCTGCAGCAGCATTGGCGCTTACCGAGGGCGGTAGAATGGGACTGCAGGGGGAGTGCGAGCTGCCAGAGGCACTCGATGAGGCGGCCAAATTAACGCCCGACGAGGAGTACAAATCCTGATTGAACTGCAAGCATGGTAGAGAAAGAGATATGGAGAGAGAGGTCAGTAGGAGATAATGAATGTACAATCCATAAGTATATAAAAGTTCTGCATACCGATGGATACCAATCTGGCAATGCCCAATAAATGTCAGATATATACAGAAATTTGCAGAGAATATTTAATTTATTAATCTTGCGATGTGTTCCTAAGTTTAAACTCCAAAGGTTCTCAAATTTCTTGCAAGTGTTCTACTAAAATCAAATGTGTGGAGTGTCTGCATCCAAAACCTACGGCTGTCTATGCTAAGAGGTGGCAAGTAATGAGTTATGAGACGCGTTGCAGCAAATTGAAAATGACACAATAGGGATATTTATGTTGATGGAAAATGCGAGTGAGGCCATTAAATTTACGACCGTATGGCGCATATTATCACGGAGTCATCCAAGGTTGCACCACAGCCACACAGCCCGAAAAACGGGTGGGGGCTGGGTGGCCGAGTGGAGTCACGGCTAAGGCGATAATCACGCCGCAATCTTCCAGCTCAGCGCAGTGTCAAACATAATGCGGCGCTCGCAACGATTTACGAGCAGCACCTTTCACTGTCCGCGTCCCCGTCCCTAGTCTAATGAGCCCATTAGGGGCACGGGCACCAGTCCCTCCTCATAAGTGGCCGATATAACCCCTTGGTATAGGGAGTTCCCCTTCCTTCCTTCCTTCCTTCATGCTACATTTGCTACCGAAAATGTTTCTAAATTTAACTGTAAACTACAATCCAAGCGGGAAGGAAAGACGGGGCACATGCCAATTATTATCGCGTCTAAGGGTTAATAATGGGTTAACCAGGCACGAACCATTTGAAAAGAGTGCATCGGGGGCATTGACAGCCAGCGGAGGCATTGATTTATGTGCAGCAGCCAAGGGCCTGTTTCTGCGTCTGTGTCTCTCTCTCTCTGTGTCTGGAGTGGGTGTATCGCCGTGTCTGATGTCTCTAAGAAAGACCAGAGCTGCGGCTTGCTACTTGTTTTGTTTAAAGTTTTCAACTTAATTAGAAGAAAGCGCTGACTCAGCAGAAGTCTAAGCAGACCAGAAATACTTGTTGGCGGCTTGGAAATAGATACAATTCGAATTGAGACATCCCTGGAGCAGCGATGACTGGTACACAGCAAATATGCCCCTCAGATCGTGTATCTGAATCTGTCACCTGGCTTAAGCACATAATCAATGCGTTACGCCTTATCGCCAAACACTATCAACGACGACAGCAGATTCGGCAACGGCCCCTGGCTGATCGTCGCCAAATTGCCCAAGTGGGGCAGCGGAGGATACCGTGCCCCAAGTGCAGTAGCCTGCGAGGCGAGGCAGAACAATGCTCAACGGAGAGAAACAGATACAGAGTGCGTATCTGTTTCTGCTGCAATGACCGCCTGTTATTAGGTGCAACAATATTTCGATTATGCTGAGCGCTCAACCCACCGATCACACGGCATAAATCACCAAAAAGGCAGCCCAGAGCCCAGAGCCCAGAGCAGAGACGAAGCAACGACAACTGTTGTTGGTTGGTAGGTTGAGTTTTTGTTTTCAGCTTTTTCGGGGTTCCTTGGGTCTCTTGCGTGTGTTATCTGAGATCGCAGCCGTGTCGGTTGACAAAAGGCAACAGGATCGGGTTGGTTGTGGAGCTGCGGCTGCGGCTGCGACTGGAGCTGGGCATGGAGATGGGGATGGTGATGGTGACCAAAAGCGATCGGCAAGAACTAATGGCGATACACACAATAAATTAACAGAACGGGAACGAGATCGCCAAGGTTTTTGTTTGTTTTAGCTGCCCCCAAAAGAGTTGGACTCGGAGTCGGAGTCGGAGTCGGGGGGTAAGTGAGAACAAAGTGTCGACGGTAGGACAAAATTGTGCGTTGTGTTGTCCGGCTGTGTAGACTGGAGGGTAGGGTAGCCCACAGCCAAATAAACCGGTCATCCAGCTCAGCTTGAAGCTGCTGACTCAATCTGCGATTGGTGGCTGCAGTACCCAGACCGATACCGAGACCGAGACCCTGGCACACAAAATCCAGCTTGAGGGCTCGGGTTTATCTCTTATGGGCAACTCTTTATGGGCATGCAAAAGCATAGAATCAGAATCGTGTCGTATCGGTTACTTACATAAAAGGCCAATTTCGATTTGGTGCCGCGGCCTTGTATAATTGGAACTTGCGACACAAGAATTTCTTTGTGAACCAGCGACAGCGGCCAGAGAGTCCCAATCCGAGACCGACTCCGCGTCCGCGTCCGCGTCAGCCTCCGTCCAGACACTGGCCAATAGGCCTGACCACAGCTCAGACCCCAAGTAGTCGCCTGGGCCCCAGACTTCGATCTGAGGAAGCCCTTTCTGGCATCGTGAGAACTTTTCTGTACTTGTCACAGAAATCACAGCGAAATCTTCGAAATCAATGTTAGCAAAAAAATAATACGAACAAAGACCCACATTGACCGAAAGGAATTCTTTGAAATGTTTCTCTTTCTTTTACTCGTTGGCTGCCTGTTGGATTTTTATTGTTTTGGGTGTCCCAAATCGATTTGCGTTCTGCGTGTATTCTTATGATTTGTTAGAAGCTTCTAATTATGCAGTTCGAGCTGGCCCAAAACAAATTGATTGAAGTCGTGAAGCAGCCTCGTTGCTTGGCCGAAGATCTTGAGTTTTAGTCGGCAGGATACGTTCGAAAGTGGGTTAACATTTGGATCGAAAAAATGGAACTGCTCTTGTGAGCTTCTGCAAGCAATTGGACAACTCCAATTGAATATTTATTGTAGATTTAAAGAATTAGTAAACAAACATAACTTTTCAATTTGTTATTACGATTCTACACATTTTGAGCTGAAAAACTATTTTCATTGTTAAACTGGAAACTCTTTTTGGGCACTTTTCTTTTAGTTCCTGCAAGCAATTGGAAAATTCCAATTGAATATTTATTGTAGATGTAGAGAATTCATAAATTCTTTTAAGAACAATTTAAGTGGCTCAAAAATTTCAATCATTCCTTTCGAATAAATCCGATTCTACAGATTTTAAAGAACTAAAAAACTATTTTCATTGTTCAATTGGGAAATCTTTTTGCACTCTTTTTGCGACTCTTCAATCTTTATAAACTGGCGATCGAACGGAGTGTAATGTTAATGCTAATTAATCCATTCATAAGTTAAAATCAACATTCATTGTACAGACTTTACACTTATGAACCATTTTTCCATCAACATTTCATACACATAATTGATAAAAAATACAATATTCCTTCTATTAATGTGTCGTAATATTTAGAAAATACTCACCCTCTCATACTGATAGAATGAACGACTTGGTCCAGCGCGCCCATACAGATATGGATAGTAGGCACCGTACATAACTTCGGGACAGGACACTGCCATTGTCGCAACCGCAATTGCAACACAACACACCGACACACCAAGCGACTAATAGTCACAGTACACGATACACGCACAGAGTTATCACAGTTTTTGTCCCGAAACGATTGGAAATTGATTTGGAATTTGGAATCACCAATTGTCAGGGTCGGGTCGCAATTGGAATCGAAAAACGATCGGAATCGGAATCGTAATCTTCTTTAAGCTGCGCCTAGGCCTCTGGGCCCGGCTAGAGCTTCTGTTAAGCTCAACTCACAGAGAGATTAAAGAGAGAGGAAAAGCTAACTTGGTGTTATTATAAAACCGGCTTCTACTCTGCTCTCGACTACTCAAAGCTGGCGGTAATGGTGGTGGTGGTGGTGGCGTGTCTTGTTGTTGGCTGGCGAAATTCCAGGAATGAAAACTCCGCTCGGCTAATTATATTTACATATTGTAAAACACCATCGCGTTTGTATCCAGAGCTTTAATTGCTTTTCGTCTTTTTTGTTGAAACTTTTGTTGTTTGTTTCTCTTTTTTCTTTCTTCTATTTGGCTCTTTTCTCCTCTCTCTCTTTCTATTGCTTTTTTTTCTTTTTTTCACAAACGTCTTTTTCTTTGAATTTGCGAGTTCCCGTTCGTGAGTATTTTCTATCTTGGCCTTTTCTCCTGCTCCCCCTCACAGGTCTTCAGTGGTTTTTGCTTTGTTTGCTCCGCCAGGCAATTGCAATTATCATTTCCACATTGTGGATTGTGGACTGTTGATTGTTGATTGCTGCTGCGTTTGTTTTCTATTTTACACGGCCACAGCCACTCCACGCCATTCCATGTCACTCCCTTCGGCGTTGGAACTCCAGTTTTGCTTCTCATCCGCGTTTCCGTTGAACCATCGGCGAAAATGCTGTGGGGGGAAAGAGTGGAAAAATGCGTTAACAATTTGTTTAATTGCAGCCAACTTACAAGTTTGCATTAATCTACAGTTTATACATGTAAAGCTGTGAAGATCCGTTATGTAAATTAATATTTAACATTTGGTTAATGTATTGGATTTTTATTATACATGTGTACATATACATGTACAATGGCTGAACTCAAAATTAAAATACTCCTGAGAATAATCAACAAAGGATATGACCCAATTTAAGCGATTAAAAACTGCAAAAGTGTTCCTAATGTAAAATAATTACAATCCAAAACAGAACAATATGACACATGATGAAAAGAGCTCCTCCAACTTCCGAATACTATATTGGATTGAAGCTTAGGTCAATCGACCTAATAATAAAATATATAACTAAACAGGATTATCCAGAGCTCACTCATGGTTGCAATTTTCATCAAAAAGGATGCAAAGCATTGGTAAGCATTAGTGTTACATCTGTTGAAAACAAACTAAAAATTCTAACTTTAAAATTATAAACAATACTCTTATGGTAACTTAACTCAAATCTTGTCTACTAATAAATTGGAAAGAACTATTCCGGCACTCGACCTTTTCAATGTTTTCTTTGCTGATTATGCGGCACAAGGATGAATCCTACGCAATTCATGTTTAAGCAGAGCTCCAAGAAGAGGCACTCGTCTCACAGAGAATTAGCATGATTGCATTGTCAGTCCCAGTGTCCTGAAACTACTTGTATTTGTGCTTTATGTGTGTCTGCATAGGGTTATCAAAGACGGCAAGTTAGATATTTGTCTATTTGTTATGTGATGACGATGCCATAGAAAACCTCAAAGTACAAATAGTTCGAAGCATTTCTGCACTTTATTTCTCTATGTATTTACTTATCCACGTCAAGAAACTACTTTGTTCTACTGAAAATTATACAAATTATTCAATAATTTTTAAAAAGCATGCGTCGGCAATTTCGGAATGAGCGAGAGCCACCTTTCAGACCCTGAAGTGGGTTTCATCTATTAAGTCCACTTTAAAGACATGTTTCCTTACCCTCAAAGGTACTATCCCCTACCAAATGATATTTAAAAATAGATATAGAAAAAGGTAGCAATACAAGTGTGCTATTAATAATGTCTAATATTTCGATTTATTTAAAATTACCGTCGGCTAAAATTTGTCAGTCAATAATTAGATACAGTGAAAGCGTAAACTATTTTTTTACTCCTTAAATAATCTGACTAAGGTGTACAAATCTTCTGAGGAAAGATCCGTAGTAAAGAAAGAATGGTTAAAGAGTCACCCACATCCCACCGACGGTATGTGAAGCATAATACAAATTCGATGATAGAAATATAATTGAACGTGTATCATGTCTCCCGTTACATGACTCCAATTCGAGTGGCATCAAATTAGAAATCAAGGGTATACATTTTCAATTGACTTCCAATTATACTAGTAAAAGATAGGTTTCCCCTCCTCTCCGCTGATAAACTTACCAATTGAAAGTCGTATAATCCACAAAGATTTTCCAGGTTTTTAATACCGCAAGATTTACTAAATATTTCCCAAGATATTTATCATGTATTATGGTGCACTTTTGGAAAATGTAAAAAATTTTACCAATTCACAAATCTGGCATGGGTTTTATATTATATATTTTATGTATTAGGGGTAGATTAAAACTGATGCTTTTATGGGGTCGTTTGCCGTTTGGTTTTGTTTGCCGTTTGGTTTTGTTTGCCGTTAATTTGAATAGTAATTAAAATTATAAGCGCTGGGAATTCGCACGTGAATATTTGAGATTTTCGCGTTGCTTTTTGTGCATTTTATTTCTAGCCGAGAGACGACATAGCACGTAAAAACATTTGCTTGGGGCACTCAATGAAAATATTTTCGCTAAATTCACAAAATGCCAAATTCCATAAATTCTTGGCGCAGGCAGGCGATGACAGCGACGGGAACACTGTGCCTCTAGTGGCAATACATTAGTTTGACGCTTAACTTTGGCATTACGAGCCGCATCCGTTCAGCTTGACGGATCCGGAGAAATCTCTATTTTAATTGCACTGAAAAATGAACTGCACTTGCCGCAATCGCTCACTGGGATTCCTTTTCGGGCTTATTTAATTTCTTGTTAATTTTCACGTCGGATAAACGTCGGGCAGACGCGACAGGCCAGGCGGGCAGCAGCTGAGAATCGAATCGAGTCGAATCAGAGGAATCAGAGGAATCACGAGGCACGAGCTCCGCTGCCGCTCAATCGGAAGATACAAAACAAACTGGCAGTGTTGCCAGCTGCTGCGCCGAAGAGAAGGTCGAAAACAAAATGGCATTTGGAAGTGCTCTCTCCCGCTCGCGGTGGCCGGATATGATGGGTGTGCGAGCGGGACCACTGCTGTGAACCATGCAGCTATTCATGGACGCCCCGCCCATTTGATTGTGTTGAGGGTTATTACTGTTGTTGCCGTTGTTGTTGCTGCTGCTGCATGTTTGGTGTCTGAGCTAACGATGCCCCGCACCCCGCATCGGTGTGAAAATAAAATGGAGTGCGTCTCAATTGTGTCTTGAAGTAGACGGAAACTCCTCCGCAACGTATTCAGTGCATACATACATACACAAATATACGATATACTGTAAATGCCTGCGTGTGTTTCCTCTGGTCTATGGACTCGACCATGTTTGATTTTAAAGTCCGTTTCCCGATAGCAGGCAGGCAGGCCGGTACACACCAGATTGAAAGGAATTCGCCTTCGTCCTTTTGTTCCCCACCGAAAAGTATGCGCCAACTGTGTCAACAGTGTTCGCAGTGCACCCATTGCCCCATGCCCCACAGCTCCCAGCGTGACGTGCTCCTATGGATAATAATCTAATTTCAAATGAATACAATTTATTGTGGCTGACAAGGTGCGGCGACCCTAAGATTGTCAGCTACTCTTTAATTGGTGTTTTAGTATCAAGTTTTATATTGAATATTGCTTCAATAGTGCAAAACCTTCGAAAGCGGATTTTGATTGTTTTGGCTTGAGATTACGAAGAATCGACAGTAGCTGGGAATTACCTTATTACCACTGAACTCTGTTTATAGCAGAGAAAAGACATTCGGTTGTTCGACCATGTATTGGAAAACATAAGCCATGAAATTCTATAGACATTTCGGGACAAACATTTCTCCGAACTGCCTACTTAAAATCATTATTTTATAAATTATAAACACAATTACAGGTTTCTATAAGCAGAGGTAGTGAATTGCACATCTGAGAGCAGGGTTCCATATTCTCATTCATTAAAGAGTTAAATATTCCATTGTAACCCATGAATCAGAACAAACCATACTTAGGATCGGACTCTCTATTAAACAAGTGTTTGTCCCTACTTGGAACTTCCGTTTGAAAACACCCAAAACCATAAATTTTCGATGAATAAAGTACAAAGACACGCGTACAGATTTATTTTCTTACGAATCATCAAATTAAACCTGACTCTAGGCAGTCTTCTCTTGCAGTGTTCCGTGTTGTTAAACAACTCTGCAGCATGCTAGTGGCGGTGTAAGAGGGCCCGCCGTATTTGTAGCCGGGAATAAGGAAGGGATCAGTGTTGAAATAAAAGTAACTGGAGTTGGATTGGAAAGGTCACAGGGAAATTAAAACAATTGGGGTTTTCGAATTTAATTCAAATCGATAGAGTATCAGGGTGTTGTGTGGCGATGTGTGCTTAAGGCGTCAGCCGCTTGGGATCGCGTGGGAACATGGAGGTCTTGCGAATGTTATCCAAGCCCAAGTACAACATGACGACGCGCTCCATGCCAATGCCACCGCCTGCATGAGGAGGGCAGCCATAGCGGAAGGATTCGATGTATGCCGCAATTTTAGTGGTATCTGAAGCAAGAATTCAGTTTTAAGAGTGGCAGTTGGGGAAAAACTTCATTCAAAGATACTAACCGATACCATGGTGCTTGGCACGCTCAATTAAGTACTCCGGATCGTGTATACGTTGTGCTCCGGACAGGATCTCCTCGCCACGCATAAACATGTCGTAGGAGTTGGAGTAAGTTGAGTTGCTGGGATCGGGCATAGTGTAGAAGGGGCGTATCGCCAGTGGGAACTTGTCCAGGATGTAAAAGTCAGTGTCGTATTTGGCCTTAACCAGGCGACCCAGTAGCTTCTCATTTGGCGTCGATAAATCCTCCTCGTCGCCCGTCTCCACGCCAGCCTCGCGCAACATAGCCACACCCTCGGAGAACTGCAGTATCAGTGGGGGCTCCAAGAACTTGAAGGCGTCCACCTTGTACTGCTGGCCCACCGACTCGATCTCACGGCTGTACTTGTCGCGCAGTCCCTTGAAAATGGCTGTGAAAGTGTTGCCAATTGTGTGGAGCACCTCGTGGTAGTGATATTTGAAGGCCATCTCCAAGTCGAGGCCCACAAACTCCGTCAAATGCCTGTGAGTGTTCGAGTCTTCTGCACGAAACACAGCGCCCACGGTGTACACCTTGTCAAAGTCAGCGGCAATGGCCATTTGCTTGTACAGCTGTGGGGACTGGGCCAGATACGCCGAATCTTTGAAATAGCTGACGGTGAACACATTGGCACCTCCTTCACTGGCGGCCGAAATGATTTTCGGCGTGTGGATCTCGGTAAAGCCCTGCTCGGTGAGAATATCACGGAAAAGGCGGCAGACACCAGCCTCCAGGCGGAATATGGCCTGATTGGCCGGCGTCCTCAGGTCCAGGACACGATTATCCAGTCTAGTGTCCTGATTGACGCGAATATTGAGCCCCTCATCATCGGCGTTCTCTGGCCGCGAGGCATCCTCAATTTGCAACGGCAGCTGAGCCTTGGCCTGGGAAATTACAAATATTTGTTCGACAGACAGCTCCAGTGTTTGCTCAGTGCAAGATTCGATCTTGATGGGCACTGAGACTGCCTTGGCCTGGATATCGATGATGCTCTCCTTGGGAATACTGCAAAAAGATAATTGGGATTAGAAATCAATGATAATGATTGGTGTAATTCATACGACATACTTTCCCGCGAACTTCACCATCTGCTTGGAAATGATGTCGCCCACAGCCAGGATGCACTGCACCGTGCTGCTCTGCTGGCGCAGGATGAGGAAACATTGTTTGCCCTTGGACCGCGATGTGTGAACGCGTCCGCGTACCCAGAGCAATCCTTTTTCCACGTGGCTGCCCAGCTCGTGTACGACCACGAAATTGCGCTCGGTGCGTTTGTCCTTCGATTGAATCATTTCGGAGAGGCCATAGCGGCCTACGGCGGTGTCCACTGCGTTGTCGCCAGCTGCATTGTTAGCGGCAATAGCAGTCGCCGTCTCCGCCTTCAGCTCAGCTTTCTGTGGAGATAATGGTACACGCATTAGAGCTGTTATCGCCACCGCACACTCACGCCACGTCCGCAAAATCAACAAATTACCTTGGCTGCCTTGGCCAGCTTCTTGGCTCCCTTCTTGGAGACCTGCTCCCCACTTTCCACGTTCTCCTTGTCTTCGACCATGTTGGAATGCACACAAACAGCTGTAAAATAAACGTTTATCGTTCGATACAGTACCACAAACAAACAGTCGTAAACCGCATAAATTCCGATAAGCAACAGGCGACTAGTGGAATGGGAAAGCAGGCAGGGGGGAGTGACGAGTTGCGTCACTATCTTTATAAATAGAAACTAGCGGATGAGATGTCCCATTTGCGAATTAACTGACAGAGGCTTCCGGCTTTTCCTCAATGCAGGTCAGCAACCCGGTCCTCCACCTTCCCTTTCCATATGTTGAGAGTGCGGAGGCCCTTTGTCACAAGCGGCACGGCACGCACATAACCTAAACTGCAACGCTTCTGTTCGCTGAGACAATGCTCGGCATGATTCACCGCCACTTATTGATTACTTCCATTGTTTGAACAATTGCACTTAACTTACCAGCAAATTCTCGCCCTTTTTAATACAGAAAACAAAAATTTCACGAGCGTCGTGGACGATTGCAGCATGCGAGTCAGCGTTGGCGATTTAGCTATTTTCCCAATAGATCTAGCGTTTTTCAATTGCCAAAAACGGTATGAAATATAAAATAGCGGGTTGCGGGAATTATTGCTCTTTTCCAGCATTCTGTCAGGTATTTGTATACTTTACTATGCCAAACTTAAGTACTTTGTAGTATTTTTTCCATTTAAACGGCCAAAAGAAGATCGAAAAGTACTATAAAAGAATATAAATGAATGAATGATAAATATTTAGCATTTCGTAGACGCCAATTAAAAACTGGGAGTCCCCGAGCTATTCATAGCACTTTAACGCTTCATACGCTTGTTCAAATAAACGTCAGATGATGACTGAACGTCAAATTACAGAAGTAAAAAAAATTTAAAATGATTTTTTACGAGTTGAGTGAAACTCAATGAAACTTAATGAAATATTTATATAGCAAATTAGTTTTGCGTTAAACTCTGGCCAGCCCATTTGGTGTGCAAAAAACAATGACCAGAAATTAGAATCACCCCAGGAAAAAATAGGGTTTTAATATCGAGATTCTGCTGCATTTTAAGTCTAGCATTAATGCAAAACATAACGAACAAATTTACTTACTTAAGTTCAGCTGGAGAAGACTATAGCATTATAATCAAAATTTTCAGGCTATACTTAGCTATTTGCAAGGACTAGTTGAGCTTTTTAATAACACGAATTTTTGTCAATTTTGTCGATAAAATATACCGGCAGATCTTAAAAAATATTGCAAAATGTACAATCTCATTTAAAATTTTTTTGATATTACTAGCTTGCAGAGACTTTTAACACTGAAACAATAATTTAAGCCGATTGAAGAATCAATTTGGCTTATTATAAGTACTCCTTTTTATTGGAATGTATACCTTATGACCTTTTATTTTACAAATTTGTATTTGAATTTTTCATTTGATGGGTTAATTGGATGGAGGAAGTTTGATCAGGGAAGTTCTCTCCTGCGCGTAAATGGTCAGGGAAATTCTCTGTCAGGCTCTCCTGTCAGTGTTGCCAACGCTTTAAATAAATTAAAAACGCTATATCTATGGGAAAACAGCTAAACTGCCAACACTGGTCCCGATCTAAGAAAAATATCGATATATCTAACAATCTCGCGCCACCCTTACTTTAACACGTCCTGCCATCCCAATCGATAGGATTTACTCGATAGCTCGCCCACATCTCTATTTCGTGAATATTCCAGAAAAACAAAAATTTGCTTGTGTGAACGAATTCGTAAACAATCCTGAGGTAAATAATTAAGTTAAAGTTAAGGTAAACATTTAATCTTATGCTGTGGCATGCGAAAAGTACGCAACTCCAATTGATTCTCAAGTGATGTTCTTCCCCGGTATATTTGTGGATATGGTGAAAGAGTGAGTCACCATTTTTCTGGCGTATACAAACAAACCGCTCGAGAAGTATGTATTATTGATGTGTGTACACTCCAGCTGCACCAATTTAATAGCAACGACTAGTTGAAAGCGAATGGTTTCAGCTGTGTGTATGTAGGTAAATTAATAAATGGCATCCCCCTCGAGAGCAAAGCACTCCCACGCTCACGTACACACTCTGCTGAGGGCACTGCACACGTAATTTTTGCCACAACAAATCCATAAAGCTACCAGGAAGAGCCCGCATTAATTGATAATTGAAGTTGCATGCCACAAGATGTGCGTTTCAAACGAAACGTTTACCCATTAATGAGCCACATTTGGTTGCTAATTTAATTAGTGGCGCTGATGCATCAGCACTTATTTTATGTTATCACTTTCCCTTCCATCTCTGTTTTCAGGTAAATTCTCATCACACTAAGTGCTACGCGGCGACCTCTGCAATGCAAGGTGAGTGCCAAGGGGCAAAACTTGACTAACCGAACGTTTCTTGGGTCTACTTCACAGCAGCATCAGTTAGAGATCTTTAGAGAGAAAGAAAGGCCGAGAGCAGTACCACAGTAACCACAGTGCAATGTCGTGGCAAAGTGTCCCTCAGTATCCCCAGTACCAAGGTCTATTTTTATTGCAAATTTTTTTATCTAAATTAATTGCTTTTTTGGGTTATCGCATGCTTCTTTCTGTTCTTGTAACCCGTCTCCTTGTCTCTCTTGTTGGACGATTGCATCAAACGTAACCTGATTCGCTGGTGCGATTTTCTCAGAGCAGCCAAACTCCAACCCATTAAAAGTTGAATCATTGTCATGTCGTACTCTTTACATTAAGAACTTATATTTGTACTTCCTTATCATGGTTTGGTTGAATATGTTTACTTTAGAGAATCGTTGGATGCTTGCTATCGTTGATCTCTCATTTCTGGGTAATGACTTGCCACAGCCATCCGAAGCGAATCATTCTGATTTCACAGTTCTGGGTAGCGAATGCGAGTTCTTTTTTAATGTAGACTATTCACCAAATGCGCCTTGTGGAATGCTCTAGAAGAAAATCTTTGGAAATTGAGCAACAGAACAAAAGCTAAGTTCAAATGTCTTCAACAGATCCAAATCAGCAATACAACTACGGTGGCGGCTATCCACCGCAAGGAGGCTACGGCGGCGGAGGCTATCCGCCTCAAGGACCTCCTCCGCAAGGCGGTTACCTGCCCTATGCCCAGGGTGGTGCTCAACCCTATCCACAGGGACCGTATGGCCAACCCTATGGCCAGGGACCACCACCAGGTGGCTATGCACCGCAGCCGGGCTTCATTCAGCCACCACCTTCGGCGGGCGGCTATGGCGCCTACGACGATCCAGAGAGTCAGCCCAAAAACTTTTCCTTCGACGACCAGAGCATCCGTCGCGGTTTCATACGCAAAGTCTATTTGATTCTAATGGTAAGTGAAAACACGATTTCATGTGTCTTTGTTTTAATTCAAAATTTGTTCTTCTTTCAGGGTCAACTGTTGGTTACTTTCGGAGCAGTTGCCCTGTTCGTCTTTCACCAAGGAACTAGAAACTTCGCCGCCAAGAACATGTGGCTCTTCTGGGTGGCTCTTGGCGTAATGCTGGTCACCATGCTGAGTATGGCCTGTTGCGAAAGCGTTCGCCGGCAGACACCGACAAATTTCATCTTCTTGGGAATATTTACAATCGCTCAATCGTTCTTAATGGGCGTATCGGCCACTCGCTATGCCCCCACCGAGGTGAGTGTACCTCCATGTTAATGCTTTCGCAGCCTGCTGATCGAGTCTCGTTGGTTTCAGGTACTCTTGGCTGTGGGTATAACGGCGGCTGTTTGTCTAGCCCTCACGCTCTTTGCGCTGCAAACCAAATACGACTTTACCATGATGGGCGGCATTCTGATTGCCTGCATGGTGGTATTCCTGATCTTCGGCATTGTGGCCATGTTTATGAAGGGAAAAATCATCACACTTGTGTACGCCTCATTCGGAGCGCTTCTGTTCTCCGTGTACCTCATCTACGATACGCAGCTGATGATGGGCGGCGATCACAAGTATTCGATCAGTCCCGAAGAATACATCTTCGCTGCGCTGAATCTCTATCTGGACATCATCAACATCTTCATGTACATTCTGACTATAATTGGAGCCTCGCGCGACTAAGGGCGACCGATTCAACGGGCAGACGATCTGCACATTTCCAAATGCATATTCTTTACAGTTTTAACCGGATATAGCTTTAGCCGGCTTATCGATATTGTTGTCGCATAATCTCATTCGCCTCTAACCTGTTCTGAAATTGAGAAACGAAATGAAATGTCGGCAATCTTCAACTTAAAGATTACTCAATTCGATCCACTATCTATGTATATCTTCTCGTTGTGTTTGGCCAGTTCCAATTTCCTTAAATGTAGTTTGCAAGGTAAAGTGAATACAAAACTAATATTTTAATTTACTTTTTGTTATGTAATTCGTATTTAAGCTGGTTTCCGACATGCATAAATCTGTTTGAATGTCTTCAAATATTTCCCCTCAGCCTCTTCAGATCATTATCGAAATTCAGTTGCGAGGATAATTATTAAATACCAAATTGATATGCCATTCAAATAATAACAATAAATAGTCACGTATATACATATTTATATGAGCATATACTATACCTACATATACATATATTATATATGCAACACTGCTTGCAATTGTTAAATACGTTTAACTATGTAAAAAAAGGGCAAACAAACCAACTACAGAATACCGAACTGTAATTGTAAATCCAATACTGAACGATGTGGGCCCTGCAGCGACACTGAGTTTAAAGTCAACAATAAAGCCCGTCTATTTATTAAAGTTGGCTTCTTCTAACCACAGAGAGCAGCCTTTGTAGGTCTTCCCCATCGCAGTTCAGCCTGGGGGGGCATTGCCACCGCCACAAGTGGCATACAATATCATCAGTATGCAGACGGCCATCGTCGCTTGCGCACGGATTACCAAAAAAAAAACAAAAAGAGGGGAAACTTTATCAAATAAAAGTACCTTTTCTTTATCATTTGTCGCGTTAGTTGGGTTGACTTTCTTATCAGAGTCACCACGATTGTGTGTGTGGGTGTCTGAGTGTCTTTTAAATTGTGTGTGCAACCGGGTCACCGCCACCTGCTTGCTGATCAGTAGTTCGAGGGATTTCCAACCAGTCGTAGTCACCGATATAGCCGCTATATATAAATAAAATGTATCACTACCAGCAAGGCAAGTACAGGATGGGGAAAAATGGAATGCTGAGCCAAAAGAATTGTGGCGAGAAAGTGTTCCCGATAAGATAATCGCCGATTGGCCCAGAGCTCTCTCTCCCTCTGCTGGGAGACCAATAATTTTGTTTGTTGCACGGTCTCGTCTGTGATTCACCTACTGAGAGAGAGATATCGAACCTTTGCTGGGCCACAATCGGTTACTCAATGGCACACAATTGTGTGTTATCTGCATCCACTTCGGTTAGCTTCGGTGAGCTGTCGGTGTGTGCGTCTGACAGTCGATTTGATAAGCGTCTAGGCTAATCTGCAAACTGTCCGCCATATGGGATACCATTTGGTAGGACAAAACGGCTTAGACCATTAGACCCATCACACCTGCAAGCGGAAGAACTCACACGAAACGTAACTGCGGCGGCAGACACACCGAGAAAGAGAGCCTATAAATATACATATATATATAACAATCCAGCCATGAGCACCCACTATCAATACGGTTAGTCATCGATTAATTAATTCTTAAATCCTTTGAACCTGTCTGCAACCATAGGCGATGAAACTGGCGCCTACACAGATGGGGAGGCCGACAAGACGTTCGATTTCGATGACCAGAGCATCAGAAAAGGCTTCATCAGAAAGGTGTACCTCATTTTGATGGTAAGTGAACCAGCAGCAGCAGCTAATCAACAGCAGATAACACATCAGCTATGATCTATTTTACTCCCTAGGTACAACTGCTGATCACGTTTGGTTTTGTCAGCGTTTTCACCTTCTCAAAGGCCACACAAGAATGGGTCCAGAAGAACCCATATCTCGTTTGGATCGCTCTGGTGAGTGAAGCTGCCACAGAGTATCCTTTTGTGGATATAACATCTCTGTTATCTTCTTTATTGCAGGCCGTTCTTATTGTGACGATGATCTGCATGGCATGCTGCGAGAGCGTTCGCCGGAAAACGCCGATCAACTTTATATTCCTATTCCTGTTCACGATCGCTGAATCCTTCCTGCTGGGCATGGTGGCCGGACAGTATGAGGCCAATGAGGTGCTGATGGCTGTTGGAATTACGGCAGCCGTGACCCTGGGTCTTACCCTCTTTGCATTGCAAACCAAGTGGGACTTTACGATGTGCGGCGGTGTGCTGGTGTGCTGCCTGGTGGTCTTCATCATCTTTGGCATCATTGCCATCTTTATTCCGGGCCAGGTGATCCAAATGGTGTACGCCTCGCTGGGTGCCCTGCTCTTCTCCGTGTATCTGGTGTACGACACGCAGTTGATGCTGGGCGGCAACCACAAGTACTCAATCAGTCCCGAGGAGTATATCTTCGCGGCGCTCAACCTCTACCTGGACATTATCAATATCTTTATGTACATTCTGACCATCATCGGATTGGCCCGCAAATAGACGCATCCGTGTTTAAGGCAGTCCCGTTCCAGTTCTACAAATATGTAATTTAATTTTATGCACCCTATACGAAGAAATACAATTTTGACTACCAGACCAACATGCCCGAGTGATCGCTTTGGTGGGATTTTGCAGTGTGGATCGGTGCATCTGTGTTCGCAAATCTCGAACCTTGCCCACGCTGCGGTGTCCAATTAATTAAAACACATGAAAGGCCGTAATGTAATTATGTTCAATCAGCCCCTGTGGCGATTGCAGAACATCGTCAATTCCTGGCCTGGAAGTGAGCAAGGTCCCCGGCGGCATCAGTGTTCGTTAGTTGTGCGCGCGCTTGGCTCGGATGCAGACGACATGGACTTCGATGAGGTACTTAAGGAGGTGGGATCTTTCGGCCTCTACCAGAAAGTCATTATATGCTCGGTGCTGCTGCCGGCTGCCCTGCCCTGCGCCTTTCACGCCTACAGGTAAACACCTGCTCTTCTTTGCCTGCACTGATTCTAAGCCTTTGGCGTGACCTTGCAGTCAGCTATTCATCGCGGCCACACCACAGCACTGGTGTCGAGTGCCAGAGCTGGAGCCATGGACCCAGGACTATGTGCAGTTGGTGAAGAATCTGAGCATACCGCGCAACCGTCACGGTGCCTACGCCGAGTGCTCCATGTATGCCCGCAACTACAGCGACATCGTTCGTTACCTGGAGTACCGACCGCCTTTTGATCTGATCAGGCAAGAGGCTGAAGATCTGCTTAAGCTGCAGCCGGAGTCTGCGCGAATAGTGCCCTGCCAGCATGGCTGGCACTACGACAAGTCCATTTACTCCAGCACAGTGGTCCAAGAGGTGGGTACAACGATCTTCGCTGTTTCTCTCTGACTTCCTCTGATTGTAGTGGAATTTGGTGTGCGACAGAAGCTACCTGGTGACACTGGCATTGGTCATCTTTGGTGTGGGTGGACTGCTGGGAAACTACGTGTTCGGTTATCTGGTGGATATGTGGGGCCGGCGACCCTCTTTCTACGCTTACCTGTTGCTGGAGATTGCAGCCTGTGCGGCAAGCGCCTTTGCCTGGAACTTTTCCGTCTGGCTGGCGCTTCGCTTTGTGGTGGGGCTGACAGTGCCGGCTATTCTGGCGAGTCCATACGTCCTGGCCATTGAACTGGTGGGCCCCGATCGTCGCGTCTTCTGCACAATTGTCTCGAACATCGCCTACTCGTTGGGACTGGTCGTCCTGGCAGGCGTCATCTACATTGTGCGAGACTGGCGGGAGCTCAGTCTGGCCGTGTCCATGCCCCTGCTGATGCTGTTCTCCTGCTTCTTTCTGCTGCCCGAGTCTCCGCGCTGGCTGATGGCCGTGGGGCAGACGAAGCGTGCCACCAAGATCCTCAAAGTAATGGCACGCGTGAACGGAGTGCGCATCACCAGGGACTTCGTGGAGCGCCTGCAGCACCGTCTAGTGACAACGAAGGCCGCAGAGTCGTCGGCAACCACTCACTATGGCATCTTGGATCTGTTTCGAGGCACCAACATGCGCCGCAAGACCCTGATTATCACCCTGATCTGGTTCGCCAACACCAGCGTGTATGTCGGTCTTAGCTATTACGCCCCTGCCTTGGGCGGCGACGAGATATGGAACTTCTTCTTGGCCGGGGCTGTGGAGCTGCCCACGTATGTGCTTCTCTGGCCAGGACTCAGCTACTTCGGACGGCGATGGATTCTCTTCATTTCGATGCTCGTGGGCGGAGTGGCCTGTGTGGCCACATTCGTTTTCCCGAAAATCACCCTGCTGCTGTACTGTGTCGGAAAGATGGGCATCAGCTCGTCCTTTGTGGTGCTGCCGCTGTTGGCCTCCGAGCTGTATCCCACGGTGGTGCGGGGCCTGGGCATGAGCTTCAGCTCCGTGGTAGCCATGATCGGGCCCATTGTCATTCCGATTATTAATCACATGGTGAGTGTTGTCCGAGAAGGTGTCCAGATGCCGATCTGTTCCTCATCTCGTTTTTGTCTCGTTGCAGGGCCAGCAAATGCTGGCGCTGCCGCTGATTGTGATGGGGGCGCTGCTCATTGTTGGTGGTTTCGCCAGCCTACTGCTACCAGAGACTCGAAACAGGAATCTTCCACAGACTCTGGAAGAGGGGGAGGCGGTTTCGCTCAGTATCTTGCTTTGTTGCTGCGTGGAGAGCTCCAACAAGAAGATTCGCCCCGGAAATCGACCCAGGGTGATCCCCGAAGTTGGTGCCGCCTCAGTGTATCATCGAGTGGAGAGTAGCAGCTCTGGTCCTGCTAGCTGCAAGGTTGTCTGCAGTATTTGCAAGAAGGAAATGCGAACATTGTAATTAGTTTAAACTCTGACAAACATTAAATTAAAATAATTGAGAGGTTCTTTCAAATTCAACAACCTGGTGCTGCCAGATCAATTTTCTTGGTAAAAATGGCAGCCCTACGTGTGCAGAGTTTCCGGACTTACATTGATTCCAATAAGACCGTCCGCAAAGTGACCGTGCAGGGTGAAAATACCAATAGACTCAACAAAATACCGCCCAAATGAAATGAAATTAAATTAATTTAATTATCTGCTACAAATTTAGCTACTAAACTATGTACCCCTTTTAGACTTGATGTTTGCATACATATATTTCAACATTTGCATTAACCTTTGCTCTGGACATGTGTTTTAAAGGGTTCGAACTGATAAGAAACCCAACCGCAAAACTTTCCCGGCAAACAGCCCATCAGCAAATCGCTGATGTTGCGAATCGCAGCCTTTTAAAGCATTTATAATTCGAGTTGCGGCAGTGACTCATGACTGAAATTTTAAACAAATCGCACACATACTAATCCCAGAAAAAGCATGCCTCACACGCAGGCAAATATGGCTTTTTACTTTGCATTTTGGCGTATAATCATGTTATTATGAGAAACCTAGCCGGGTCATAGGCATCATTTAATTATTTAAACGGTCTATGTTCACTTCTTGCGACCACAAACAGCTACAGACTCAGTTTAAAGACAGAATCTCAATGTCAACAAGTTTAGACTGCCGCGTGCTTTTTGCTTCCCCCTTGCTAAAAGGCGTTGCTACGCATACACACACACGCGCGCACACCAATAAAGATTATGCAAGAAAAAAATAGAAACGCCAGAAATAAAATGTCCAGAAATATAAATTGTTCTTTCCAGTTCTTTTAATGTATGTATGATGGTCTAAAAAATACGTTTACAAATTAAAAAAATGTTTTCAACAATTTTGGTTCAAGTTAGTTTTAGCTTTGATAGGGACTCTCGTGTTTACATGAGTTTGTGATGCCGGGTGGGGGGATACATCATCATTGGGGCTGGGATTTGAATTTCGAATAGAAAGCAGTATGAGCTAATGCTATTAATAACTAAATATTCATCCTCCTACTCTCTGTCCCTCCGACCAACCTGGCAATGACTTGTTCTGGAGTGTTTGTGTTGTCCCCTAAAATCACTTTTCAAATTTGAATATCTCCTCAAAACCGTATAAACTGTATGTGTGTGTTTCTTGTGGGGGCGGCGGTGGAAACAATACGAGACGGCGGCGTTGCGGATGGGATGTCTGTCTGTGTTTTGGTTTTTCGTACTTCGTATAGAAGGAAACGTGCTTTAATCGCATTGGAAAATACATTTTGCGGTTGTACATTTCGTTTCCCGCTACACTACGAGTAGTTCTAAGATTGAAAGTTCCCTTATTATATTAGATATAATTATTAAATTTAACGTGTTGTGTTTAGCGCTCGCTAGGATGCCTTTTATTTGTATTTAGTTTAGTGTAGCATGACCCCCGAAAAAGAAAAAAAAAGAGACCGGGCGCGCGGCGCATCCAGTGACAAACCACATGCCAGCAGTCCTACTTCCATCCCCCACACAGCTATCCAGAGGGGAGAAGAGGATCCGCTTGACGGTGTGTTCTGCATGCCAGCCGCTGGCCCCTTCTTTCCTTCTGTCGTCCTATGTTTTGTATGTGTGTGTGGATTGTTGTTTAAAGTGTATGTGTGTGTATCTACGCCTCAACATCGTTGACTTGTTAGGCCGAGGCCGCCACTTCACCAGCCTTCTCGTCAGCCTTGGCACCGGCAATAGCCACCTCCTCGAAGTTCTCGACCAGATCGGGCACATCATCGTCACCGGCATCCGCCCCAGCAGCGCCGACAGCACCACCGGCGGCGCTCTTATTGGCGATTTCCGTGGCCAGCTTCTTCAGCTGAATGATGTCCTGGGGACCCAGTTGTGTGAGGATGCCGGGGACCATCTCGGTGATGGTCTTGTTCTCACCGTGTCCAGTGATGGCGAACGTGTTGGTTGGCAGCGAAGCCTGTGCCTTGGGGTTGTTGAAGTGGATGACGGTGCCGTCATTCTTGATGATGTTCACCTCCTCAATGCCGGGAATGGTATTCACCGACAGCTTCTTCAGGGACGACTGCAACTTCTTGTCGTCGGTTGCGGGGGTGGAGTGCACAATCTTCTTCTTACGACGGGGGGTGCCCTTGCCGCCAATGCGCACCTGCGCTTGCAACTTCTTAAGCTTCTCCGGATTCATCTGCACACACGAAAAGTTCAATGTTAATAGATTAGTCTACGCCGTTTTTCACGCTGATTCCAGTTCACTGCGATATTTACTTTGCTTTTTACTCAAATTTACACAGAGCTATGCCCGAAAACACGTGCGCCCAGTGGATGTCAAAGTCAAAAGAAAATCGCCATGATAAAATTGACACGCAGTGTGACAGAACCCTAGGAATATACCAAAATATACCAGCTTTCAAAATATACCGACGAGTAAAAGAGGGACAATATCGTATATTCCATTTGTTAAGATCATTACTTCCTTTCTTGCCAAGTATTTATAATATAAAACAGTACCTTCCCTACACGAGATGGTCATAATAATATAAAAAGGCCAGTTATTGTAATATACCAAAATACACCAATTGAGTATTAAATTTACAATTAACCCACTTGCCCCCTCTATTTAAACTGGTGAAAAAGTTGATTGCTTGTGAATGTTAATTCCATCTACATCTTAAAGATGCACTGTAACTTTCACCACAACTACGCTTAAATTATTCAAAACTTTTCATTTTCGTGGAATATACATTGGATATAAGTCCCATTAAGAAAATTATTTAAGATTTATTGTATATTTACGGTATAGAAGGTATGTATATTTGATCAATAAATCCGCGGTCACACTGCTTAGAACGCTAACCTGTTCGTTAAAAATTTGTGTTGCATATAATAGTATATTTCATGAGATTCCTAAGTTTTCAATAATATAGGGTTTCGAAACTTTTGACTATGGATCGAATTGGAATTTATTGATAATAGGATTAAATTATAGTTTTGGGGCTCAGAATCCTAACTTGCCTAGTAATATTAAATAAAACTTCAAACTCGAAGAAAATGATTTTAGATGCATGGTATATTTACGGTATATTGTAAAAATGAAAAGATATATTTAGGTAGATTTTTGAGTGTCGTGCGGTATACTTCATCGATAAATCCGCGGTCACACTGCTTACAACACTAACCCGTTCGTCAAAATAATTGTTTTTTCAGATTAGCCGTTTGATTAGATTATTAAAACATTGATTAAACCAACAGCGTGCCCTGTTTTGCGAGTGAAATTGATTGGAGGACTGCACAGTACACGTGTGCATAGAGAATACTGAAGGTTGAGCAGTGCATTTATCGCTGTGCAGCCGATTGCAACAAGTGGATTTTTCGCTTAAATATTTCCCCAGAAGCTAAACAAACGTAAGTTTGAAACCCCCCATCAACATATCTCTTTACATTTGTGTAATCCGCAGTGGACGACTTCGAGTTTGACGACCTGGACGATTTCGCCATGGATTTCTGGAGTGTTTTCATGTTCTTTGTCTTGACGTTCCTCATCATGAGCTGTTGCGGCTACTGCTGCACGAGCAGGCGTCAAGGCGCTGTGCTCTCCAGTGAGTAGAGATCAGATTTTTTAATCAGATAAGTGCGGGGATGACTCATAGCCTCTTCAGTGGAGTCGGCAGACATGTGATGCTCTCCAGATTAGAGCGAATACAAATTTGCTAGCCTAAAATTTGTTTGTACGAAAAGTGAATTTTCTAAGAGATTGCAAAAAAAAGAGAGAGACGTATGAAAAAGCTTTCCAAAAAGGTGAACTGCTTCTCTTTGGAATTTGTTTATTACTGATTCTTTTATTGGTTCGCTGATTCGCAAACAAAATCAATTATGTTTTATATGTTTATATTTGTGCGCGTGTGAGAGTATATAGGTAATTTTCTTTATCAATGTATAAATAATTGTCTAATTAACTTCATTTATTCATATCTTATCGAGTGTATAGATTGCGTATCGCAGTGTAGCCATGGGCTGACCAGGAGTTCCCCTTACGAGTTTTACTACCTACGACTATTCCCACTCTCTTGGTAGACTCCCTGAAACAACAATTTTCCCCAACGATCTGTGCTGGAAACGATCACGATCACTGTCTTTGGGAAACTCTTCTAAATGCCCTGCAGTTCCAATAGGTAGATTGACTCATAGTCATTTATTTACAAGTTCCCTGTGACTCACGCCCAGTGGCACTGCCTCGATATCGCTTCAATTTATTTTAATAGATAACTACATACAAATGTACGTACCTATATGGGTTCCATTAAGGCATCGAAAGTAATTGCCTGCAGTACTCGCTGGTCTCTAAAACCCTACACGTCGCACAAAAAACCCATTCGAAATGATTTATATATACTTTGATATCTGGTTCCCCATTCTGATGGTCTTCTTCATAGTGATGTTGATCCTAGTTCTGATACGCATCCGTCGGGCCCGTCAAATTCGTCTGGCAGCCACAATGGGTGAGCAGAGAAAAGTCATCATCAGATGATCCGATCGGGCCCTGTATGTTTAGGTTCTGGGAACAACTTCAAACACAAGAGCCATCGAAATCTAATCGTCGTTTCTACAAGTGTCCAAATAACATATGTCGCCATTTGCATTGGGTGCTGTACTAAATGTATATATGTAGATTATCGCTTTAATTTATTAGCAAATATTACAAATTAGCAATGTGGTTTTCCCACTTCGATTAGGGTGTGTTTTCGTGTGTCATTGGGCGACATTGGGCGACAATCTGCCTCGAAAAACCTTTGACGTCAATTTGGTTAGTGAAAAAGCACACTTAGAATGCGCACTAGTGGAGTAGATTTATTTATCTACTTGATCTTTATACACCGACTTCTGTTAAAGAACAATTTTTATACCCGACACTCACAGAGTACCAGGGTTATATTCAATTCGTGTGCCAACTCCCCAGAAAACAACGAATTCAATTTTGTACCCGTCTCTCACATTGTACCAGGAGTATATTTAATTCGTGTGCAAACTCCGCAGTAAACAACGAGTTCAATGTATCAACTTATATTTATTTGAAGATCAATTTTTGGACCCGGCACTCTCACAGAGTACCAGGGGTAAGTTCGTGTGCAAACTCCTGTATTTTCAAACCGAATTCATTTCATCGGAGCAATACCAACATTTCTATTCATTTGAAGAAACATTTTTTTAACCGGCACTCACGGCAGTAGGGGTATATTCAATTCGTGTGCAAACTCCGCAGCAAGCTCCAGTGTTATCACACCGAATTTATTCTATCGTATCATTATTACAGATCGAATTTCACGTAGCTGACTCACGGAATGACTTTCCTGATATCTCTTAGTTAACCCTCTAATTATTATGACTTTCAACACAATTAATTTAGGTTACATTTAATCCGATTCATTTAGTTTTTTAGGCTCATAGAAGTTGAAAATTATATCAAAATATGACTTGGGCGATTTAGATATTATCGGCACAGATAATGAAGCATGAAAATATTGTCTGATATGGGAAAACATAGTCGTTTTCTTACTCCATCTTAGACAACAGAGAAGGAAGAGAAGAAACGAGAAGGGACGTGTGAGACTCTTCTTACGCGTCACAACTTTTATACCCGGCACTCAGTATCACTTCTGCACCTTAGCGGTGTTTTGTCAAATATAACATTTTTCTTCATCTGTCATATACATCTACAACACTACTCACACCAACCCGCTCCGTTATCTCGCCGCCCTCCACACTGCAGACTCGCGGCAGAGGCAGCGCCCGCACACAAAAAGAACAAATATAAGCTGCGTGACGGGGTGGGTTAAAAGTCGGCAGAGGCAGGGGCCGTGTGAAGCAGAAGCAGAGTGTGAATGAGAGAATGTGAATAGCCACTGCAAATTAATATCTTCATTCTGGCTATAATAATGATCCAATCGGATCCCAATTTGGTGATCTGATAGATATGGAATGTTTAGTTTTCTTTTATCTTCAAAATTGTAGGTTTGGAAGTTTTTCGCCCTTTTGCGGGGGCGGAAGGGGGCGTGGCTCGTTTTTTAAATACACTTGTAACAGTGTGAGCATACAGAAGTCTGGATGCAAAATTTGGTGGCTCTAGCTTTTATGGTCTCTGAGGTCCAGGCGCTCAACAAGACGGACGGACGGAAAGACGGACGGACAGACAGACGGACGGACAGACAGACATGGCTTAATCGACTCGTCTGTTGATGCTGATCAAGAATACAGTACTTTATGGGGTCGGAAACGTTTCCTTCTGTGTGTTACATACATTCACTTTGTGCACAAATACAATATACCCTATTTACTATTCGAGTACCGGGTATAAAAAATGATCTGTTTGAAGATCAGAATGTCTGTATACTCATGAGTTCAACAACCGAGAATGAAATACTTAACAATGGGATGTAAACAGAGTTTTTGTGTTGGCCCAGCACTTGATAAGACTTTAGACGACCATCTGAGATTATTTCCACGATTTCTCATAGAATTTCGATGCTGTCTGGTTTTGATCTCTCTTTTGGATCGACCACTCTACATGTGTTCTGATAAGCGTAATTTAATAGGCTCACACTTTACCTTCAAGATGGGGATTATAGCTTAGGCATGAGGGCTTAGGGTGGTGTCTGGTTTACCCATTTACATTTTGGCCTTTTCTTATGGCTATAATTTTGGAGCTCGTTTTTGATTGATTCGTACAATTGACGTAGGTTTTGAGCTGTAAATACGCAGTCCACTTGACAGTATTTATGATCCCCACGGCTCCATGCTCTCATTCGGCTTGGTATCAGGACTATATGGTGACTTTAATCGCAATACGCGTTAAACGTTACAGCCAATGCTACGGCCCCTAATCTTATCTGCTCTTCCAATGCCGAAACCCACTCTGTTGGGATACGGGTGAGCTCGTCTGGGGGGACTCTTACCAAAACCTATAAGGAGGCAACACTCGTCGCGCAGTCACTGTCCAACGTCTGCGCAATGAACAAGAGGAGCATTTGACATTCTGTGGAGTAGAAGTTTGAATCCAAATGAACAATTCTGAAAGACTGAAATAGCTTCCAATCGAATATAGTAGCTACATATATTAAAAACCAATCGTAAAGGATGCCACATGTGCCGGGTGAAAGGGATCAGACGATCTCAACGATTATCCTGTGCTCGATATTCGTGGTGGTTCTCTGTGCAATACTAACGGTCATAATACGTTCTGCCATCCGCAAGAGGGAGCAAAAGGCAAAGGATAAGGGTATCATTGAAACAAGTTAGTATCTAACATTCCCAGTGCTATCGTTCTACTTGCATTTGGATGACAATTAGCGATGATTGTGAACAATTGTAGATAAAATTATATTACTAGACCAAAGTACCTGTTAAGGAGTAGTTTGATTATCTAAAGAACTCTTGTAGAAACCCGATTCAGGTGCCTGCAAACCGAGAGTGTAAATTTCTCGCTTTGTTTTTACATTTAAGCACTTTGTTCTTCCATCAATTTATATTTAACTGATCACTAAATAATAGTATAATCACTGTAAATATGTATATGTATATGTATATGTATATGTATATGTATATGTATATGTATATGTATATGTATATGTATATGTATATGTATATGTATATGTATATGTATATGTATATGTATATGTATATGTATATGTATATGTATATGTATATGTATATGTATATGTATATGTATATGTATATGTATATGTATATGTATATGTATATGTAACACACACATTATCCGTAGGCTGCTTGTCAGCTTATAAGACGAGAAGGGACGTGTCAGACGCTTCTTACGCGTCACAACTTTTATACCCGGCACTCGGTACTACATCTGCACCTTAGCGATGCACTAAGGGGGCATGTTTTTTAAGAAAATGGGCGTGGCACCGCCTTTTTTAAGGAAAAATCGGTTTTTATTTTTTTTTCAAATGTTAGAAGAAAAATAAGAATGGGAATATGTTTAGCATTGCAAGATTCTATAAAAAAAAGTCGTGGCACCAATTATAACAGCTTAAAAATCCAATATAATCGAAGTTTTTGTCCCATAAAGCATTCTCCATAGGAGTTTCCATTATAAAACAATATTACACTGGATATCAAACTCTAGCCCTCCAAAATAGCTAGTGACTAATACTGTGGCTTAAAGGCAATGCAAAGTGGCACCCTACTTTACAATTTTCTTCTTAACTGTGTTCCAAATGGCGAAAAAACATTGCAATTTCTCATTTGAGGTTATGATCTATAAATGCAAATTGTAGGAGTTGTGGTCAAATGTGGAATTTCTGACTATATACATTTTAACAATCATTTATTGCTCTACAACACACAATAGGTTTCAGGGTGGTACTAGGTGGCACTCTATTAAAAAAACTTTTTCAGAAATTAGTTTTCACTACGAACTGATACATATTGAAGGCCTCACTTTGACATACAATTACGAAGACATCGCCAACTACTAGATATTGTTCATATTACAAAACACGTAGTAAAAACCCTACTGAATAAAATTCATCATAAAAATTGGATCAGTTAATCGTATTTTTCAATTTATGAGACATTTAAAACA